ATGTTTGATTAAGTAAATGAGATGTGGCTGGGGCCTTACAATGAAGGAGTAAGATGTAAAGGGGTTAGCAGTCTTTAAATGATCAGCAAAGAAACGTATATGAATGTAAGGGCACGGGTTTCAGGATGTGTTCCTGTTACAACCACAGAGACACATGATAGAAGGTAATTTACCTGTAAAGATTACAGTTACCTTGGAAATGAGGGGAAAACACCATCCACATCACTGAAAGCAACCTCCTATCTCTAAAAAAAATTAAGTTGACATTGTTATGAATTGGATTTTTTTCCTCATTCCCATGCTTTGAGTTTGAAATAGGAGTCAAAGCAATAGATGTGAGGCAGTAATGGACTCAGAAAAATGTCTGCATATGTGCTTTATATTAGTGTAAGACATGTGTGCAGGTCAGGCTTATCACTTATATGTGATTTCTGTGGGGTGGGAACCTGGAGCAATGGGGCCATTGAAGAGCTATTGTATGCTCCAGCCAGGTCCCATGTTGGTGCAAACTGTAGCCTGAGACCTGTAGCATGCCATAAAGTACACCTACCATCAAGAGCTTTTCGTGGTTGCAGTGACTTTACCAGGGCTTCCAGTGCCTCCTTTCAGCCTTTTCTGCCCTACTACTGCAGATGGTCAGCTCTCCTGCCATGCCAAATTCAACAGCTGACATTAAGACATGGGCTGTTTGCTTTTTCTCACCTAATGCTTCACAGAATCACAGAACGTTAGGGATTGGAAGGGACCTCAAAAGATCATCCAGTCCAATCCCCCTGCCGGAGCAGGTTCACCTAGATGAGGTTGCACAGGAAGGCGTCCAGGCAGGTTTTGAATGTCTCCAGAGAAGGAGACTCCACAACCTCTCTGGGCAGCCTGTTCCAGTGCTCTGTCACCCTCACCCTTCAAAACTAAAAGACTTGCAAAAAGCTTTGCATCTTCTCTGGGCTTCAATATTGTTGTTCCAAAGTATAATTAGTTTCTCACTGAATAGCATCTTCCTAAAAAGATATTTTTATTTCTAAATTGCTTCTGGACACAAACCTGTCATTCTCTATAAGAAGTATAACATTTTGTAGTGATGAATTACCCATATGTTTTTATTCTATTGATTTTTTTTTTCATGACACTTGTGTAAAATGTTGCTGCCTCTGATTGTAGATTAGTTTATTTATAAATAATATCTTTTTCTTTCTGTAACAAATGTTATCATTACTACTAAGCCCTAAAAGAATGATTTAGTGGAAATATCATATCCTGTCATCTTTTCAGCCTGTAATGTCTTTATTATTCCAGTCTGAGTAACACAATTTAAAAAATTACTTCACAATAACTGTAGCAAAATATTTCATCAGCGAAACACCTTTTGATCGCAGAAAGGCTAATATATAAAATATATGCTACTCTGATGCTGATCATTCAGTATCAAGTTGACTCATATCTAACATTTAGTGAAAGGAATTTTTTTTGTGGGAAATAAATGTAGCAAATAGTTCAATCCTTCCCCCCTTCCTATTATATTCTGTTTTCCTATCCTTATTAAAAGTTTGTGCCTTGAGGCCTACCAGCAGGGCATGCAATACCTACATTAAACCAAATTTAAAAGTAAGGGTGCTCCTGCTGCTAACGTCCTCAGATCACAGACATGCAAAATGAAGGAACTGGCAGCTGAAACTTTAATGGTAGGAAGCGTAGACTGAGTACTTGGGGAAAAAACACAGTAGCTCTCTGTGTCAAAAAAGTCCTATTAGCATTTATGTACTTCAAAATGATGAGCTAGATGATTCTACGTAACTGGGGGGGCTGTAGGCTTTTGCTTTGAGTAGAACCCTGTGTTTGTGTTGTAAGTATAGCATTGCTTTCATTTTTTATTCAAAAGATTGTTACTATTACAATTATGTATTATTTTGCATGTTAATACAGTACTGCTTTTGCATTGCACACTGCATGTTCAATCATTTCTCCACCTTATGTATCAACTTAAAATACTAAGTTATACTAATATATATATATTAATATCTCGGGCCTAGATAGCTTGAGGAAGCACAGGGAATCACACGCAAGTAAGGCTTCTGAATCAGTTGTCCCTGTGCAAATCAGAAGCACTCCAATGAAAGAGAGAAAACCATTGAAAGTAAGGTCATGATCATTCCTGTGCATTGTGTCCTAGTGAAGTAGTACTGAGATCTGACGTGATTTGTGCGGAAATGGAGTCCAGTTTCAGACGTAATGCAATAGAAATGAGAGAGTTGACTGGGAAGCAGCACAAGGACAAGAAACTGCATCACTATGAAGACATTGTTTGAAGTAATGTTGGGTTTTTTTGTTTGTTTTAGTTAAAATGAATGTGTTGCCTCAAGCTATCCTACAAAGCCCACGAGAGCATCCCAGGTTCATAGAGCAGACTGTTTGCCCCTCATTAGACTTTTCAAGGTATGTACCTCCTTTCTCTTGGAGTAGCACTTTTTTTGTGAATGGCTTCAATCAGCTATGCTGAGGTGACAAATTATGTTTGCTTTATTTGCAGTATTTAAAACTGCAAAAATCAGAGGCAACAAAATTTACATAATGGAAAATACGTTTATTTGGATGAAAAATCAAGATTTTTTTTTTCAATTCAAGCACAAAACAGTTTCATTTCACATCTCTCAAAACAGAATGAATAAAGCTGGCTTGAAAAACATTGTCCTGTATTTAACAATTGAGAGTTAACAATAGTGCCATACTTTCAACCCATGTTCTTCCTGTGCATGCCTACATGGCTTTCTGTTCCATTGAATTCATTTCTCCTCTCAGTTACTTGTATCCATACATTTTTGTCTCGCTCAGTGAGTACTGGACTCCCAGTTACTACTCTACTCCACTATGCTCTTTTTCCTGGAATTGCCTCCATTTCAGAAATAATTGTGCCTATTTTCTTCTTTTTTTTTCTTCTTTTTATCTTTTTTAATTTTTTTTTCCCCTTACAATCCTAACATTCCCATTAACCCTTTGGCTAAAAGGTCTGGCACATCTCAGAGTTCAGAAGCTGCATGTCCGTGTCTAAAAGCAGTAAGGACATAGAAATTCCCCACCCCTCATCTGGTGTGTGTTCTCTATGTGCTACTGCTGTGCTGAAAGCTCATTTTTGTAGTCTTAAAGTAAAAAATATTGTTTGGCACGGGCTTTCTGAGGGGCTTCTAATACAATGTGTTCTCTGACACATTGATAGGATAAGGACATGCAGTGATGTCTTGTGATTTTTATATATTTTTTTTAAATCTTTTGCGGCTGGAGCTGTGTTCTGCAACCATCCATTTTTACAGTAACTACACTGCTGGAGAACTCACCCTAAAGGTAGGACACTTGTTTCCTTCCCTTGCCTGGGGAGTTTCATGTTCTAGAAGGCCATTCGGTACTATAAAGGTTGTGCCTTTTTGCAGAAAAGCAGTGTGTGATTCTGTAATGGTCTAGACCATGCTGTAGATGCCTAGTGATTAGAGCAAGACAAGCTCTGCCATTTTCTTTGAAAGGAAATTTTGAGAAACTTGAGTCTGTATTAACAGAATATGCAGTGGGGATAGAAAGTTCTGTGAGAATCAGTTTGGTCCTTCATACTTTATTTGACTTTGTTCCGTTCTTTGATTAAAAAGCCAGGTGTATTTATCATTAAGTCCATTGCTACAAAAAAATCAACATCTATTTTCTTGCTGTGTAGACTGGTAACAGAAATAGCTACAGAAACACATGGTGTAGAATATTAATGGTGGGATAGATGTCCCTTGGATTAAAATATATTTGGTTTTAATGAGTGAGTGATTTAAAATTAAATAGGAGCAAACTTACAGGTGAAGTAGAATTTTTTATAAACTATTTGTGAAATATAGTGAGTCATCATGGAAACACTGGAGAAATAAGGCTAAAACAGTTTGGGAAAAGCAAGTGGCAACTTCTGGAAGAAGATAAAAACAGCTCTTAGCCAGTGCCATCCTTACCTCCTTTCTCTATTAAGAAACAATGTGCATTCTAAGACACAGTCTCGGTTCTTCACATTAATTACTTTTCTTTTTAATAAAATAAAGTTTTAATTCTCATTGCATTTAACAAGCCATTTTAAATAATAATTATTTGAGGTAATGGAATTTTCTACTGTTTATTTTTTCTGATATATCATCTGCCTGTCTTTCCTGTGTAATTGATCATAGAATCATAGAATGGTTTGGGTTGGAAGGGACCTTAAAGCTCATCCAGTCCAACCCCCCTGCCATGGGCAGGGACACCTCCCACCAGACCAGGTTGCTCAAAGCCCTGTCCAACCTGGCCTTGAACACTTCCAGGGAGGGCGCATCCACAACTTCCCTGGGCAACCTGTGCCAGTGTCTCACCACCCTCACAGTAATAGATTAACATGATTGATAATAACAGCCAGGAGGAGGTAAATATTTACTATTTTTAGTAACTTCAATTCTTTATGACAGATGACAATGTTTGTAGTTGCATGAGTCTAACACAGAGTATGGCAGAAATCATGTAAACAGTAATTGGTTTGCATGTTGTTGCTTTTGGGTTTTTTGTTACCAATTAGAGCTCTATAATTTATACTTTGAGTATAAGGCAAATGACATTTTAAATTGTGTATGATTCTGGGGACTTTTCCCCTGGTTGTTTTTTATTAAAAGATCTTTGAGAAGATAATGAGAAGACATCAGGCTTTCCTTAGTTCCAGTTTAAGGTGATTTTTAACTGCAGTGTAGATTAAATTGAAGGAAGTTCACAGTGACGCCTAGGAATTAACTTCTTGTAGCTGATTATTCAGTTTAGGATTTGGACTTCTCACCACCACCTCCATCCCCCAGCTGGTGTGTTCTCTATGTGTTATTGAGTCAGTCAGCTTTTTTATTTGTGTTGTCTACTGAATAGTTCATATTTTATTACCCAGAGATACTACTTTTCAATTTTTCTATCACCTCATATAAACCTATTTTATCTTGAAGTATGGTTTACATCAGTTTAAAATATACAATAACTACTTTATCTTCAGTATCTTAATGACATTATGTGTCTTCCTAAATTGTTACTATTTTAGTATGAAAATTTTGTTATTGATTAAATTTTTGCATCAATTATAATGGAATTTTTATCCCTAAGGTGTACATTTTTCATGGTCAGCAGCAACTCATATGGATTGTGTTATGAGCAGTTTGAAAGCATAAGCCTCAGTTGGTGCAGCTCAGTAGCAGTAAATTCTGGAACATATTTAAATGCCCTATTTGTGCCAGAAGTTTTCACTATTACATTGTTTTAAAAACAGACATGTCAAAATATCTCTACATTGCTTAGCTATTTTGTTTTCATTTAAATAAACTTCATGAAGTGTCTTTGGTATTCTCAGAGCAATAAGGAGCATGACGCTTATAATAGCTAACATTATGAAAATAATTTACTCTCATCCATGTAATAAAAGACAGCAGTGTAATACAGACAGAGAAAGAGGAAAGTAATAGATTTATGGGGAACACTAATGTTGAATTCCTTTTATCTTTGAGTGATTAACCAGACAATCTTTATGCTCTTTTAAAGAAGAATAAAAATAAATTCACATTACTTTTAAAAAGATAATATCCTCTACTGTTGGGATATCAGAATCTATATAAATACACTTTATGGTCAGTGAGTGCATGTTATCCTTTAAAATTCAAGGCATCTCTTGTGTATCAGTGGAGCTACAAAAAGATGATAGCTCAACTGAAAAGTGGGATGATGTACAGTTCAAATCTTAAAATTAGGTCCATGCACCCTGAAATTTTTAGAAATATTGCTGTTTATTTTAATGCCCTTTGAATTACTGCCTTAGTGGACCACCTTTTGCATTATGCTACTCAAACCGTGGAAAGCTGAGAGCAGTCTTGAAAGTCCACATTGCACTAAAGAAAACATTTTGAGTTGGGTTTGGGATTTTTTGGTTGATGTTCATTTTTTCTTTATTTTGAAAAAGGTAAATACAAAATAGATTGGATCACTCTGGTCCATACTGATAATACAAAAATGTAATTGTTCTGTTTTAGAAAATATTTTAAATATGAATAGTTTAATCAATTATTATTGATTTAGCTAATGCACTATTTCTTCTAGTTTAGACAGAAATATCAGATAACCAGGTCCTTGAAAGCTAATACCGACTCTATTTTCGTTCAGAAATAAAGGCTTGAAATAGCTACAGACCAAAAAATTAAAAATATATTTGTATATGTTTATAGAATGTCTGATATTTAACTTTGTCAATATTTCAGTATTTAGCTCTACTTGGCAATGCTAATATATTATACATGCTGCAGAAGTCTATGTTAGCACCTCATAGTATTTCTTTTATTTTTTTTCATTTAAATTTAGGATTCATTTGATCAAAGACAAAGATAGCATAGATGATTATTTGGCGAAGAATATCAAAGGGCTGTCAAAACAAGAAGCTGCTGCGTAAGTTGGCTTTTTTGAGGCATTTTAACATCCGTAAGTTTATTGTTTCCTTTGTTTCTAGTCATCATAATAATTTAAATTTAAAGTTCCCTAGGCCCTACCCTTTTTAGAGGAACTTGGCATTTAAAAATTGAAGTTGGTATTAAATAATGATGGTTCATTTTTCCTGATCTTAAATATATCAAAGCATTTAACTACTTGGTTTTACTAATTTGTATATTTACCGAAGTATTATATCACATTTGTAAAATTATCATTAAGATTGTGTCAGTAATTATATTTGAAATGGTGCTGCTTTTTTTTTTTTTTTTCCCCCTGAGCCTCTGTGAAATATCTCCTCTGGGGAGATAGCTTAGTGTGCTGACATACATGCTCTTCTAATTTTGAATTATTATTTAGCCAAGCCCAAGTGCTGACTTCTGTGGTGAAGCATTTAATACACCATTAGTTATTTAAAAACCCAGTGAATGAAAGAAATCTAGATAACTTTTGATTTCGTACAGCTGAGGTATTTACATTTAGAAGTTACAAGAGACTATGACTGACTTCTACAGTCTTTTAACAGATCTGGGGTTCAGCACCATCAAAATTAATGAAAAAATTCTAACAAATCTGAATTGCTGGTTGCTTAAGTGAGATGATTTATTTATTTCAATATTTAAATAATAAAAAGATGCATATACAAGGCCTCTAGGCACCTTACCAATTAATATTGCAAGATCACCCTTGCAGCATAAAAAATATTCTATCAATCAGACAGGAATTTGACCAACTAGTTTCTTGTGAAACAAGCTGCTTTTCTCCTTCCTAGCGTAAGAACCTGCAAATCTCCCCTAAATACTTTCAAATGAAAATATAAAAAGTTACCACATTTGAGTTGAGGGGTAGTAACTTTAGCGGTGTCCTGAAACCATACCATGTAATACTCAGCCAGCAGACACTCTTT